ACTCTAATTCTTGATAAATATATCGCTTTCTTACCCCGTTTATCGTAATTAGGGCAAGAAGTTGGGTAAAAACTACTTTGCGTACTCCACAACAGATCTCACGCGCAAAGTTATACTCAGTCATCCTTGTTTGTGCTAAGTTCTATGGCAGTGCAGTCAAAGCATTTCTTGTTCTCTTTTTCAATGGTTGCCTGCGAACAATGTTAAAGAAGTGTTGTCTTGTGGGAAAGGCTGAGGCGAAAGGCTAAAGACTAATGGTTATGAATTTTATGGACTATCGCAAGCCCCGAATTCGATTGCAGTTTCTCTGTTTCATCGCTTTCAAGTGTGCCCTAAGAGGAGGTCGGTATCAGTCATGAAATGGATGTTGTTAGCTTGATCCCGTCCCTGCCTTTCGACCTTACAAGAGGGATAAAAATCTATGATATACAAATTAGGTGGAGAGTGTCATAGATGGCACCAACTTCCTCACAATATGTATGTCTGAGTGACTTTAGCTCGAACAATAAGCTAAATTTCTTGATAAGATAAGATAAATTTCTTGAGCTTAGCAGCTCAGTTTAAACTTGGAAAGGGGACTAGCCAAAACTTCACTGTATAGTTAAAACCTGCTTGTGATTAAACTTTAAGAAAAGATGCGAACGCGACTGTCGACAAAGAGCAAGAGCCGAATCCTGTTGATGCTCCGCCTGCTGCTATGGAAGGAGGTAACTCCTGGGCCTGCGTAGTAAGGTCAGCCCTAAAAAGGGTCGTAAATGCTTTTCCAGGATCAGGGATGAACCCAGCTCACGACAAAGTTGCTCCAAAAGTTGAAAATAAGGTAAGGCTGTTTTGTTGAGATGCGTACATTATACCGATAGTGGGTAATGGATTCGCTAAATGCATCTTAGAAGAAATAGGATTTAGAAAATTTAAAAGCTAAGGAATCAATTCATCCACAATATTTCAATATTTGGTATAAGAGATAAATAACAATTGCTCCTTAATTTCCCAGTTCTTTTTTTTTGTAATGGACTTTTATACTTGAAGACATTCTATTTGAATTGCAGCTAAACGAACAAGAAGAAGTAAACCTTTGGAATTTAGTCAAGAGGGCTGCATCGAACGTCTATGAGTCAGGTTAACCCATATTTTCAAGCCAAATAAACAAACAAGATGCAAACAGATTTTCAGCGAAAGAAGGCCTTGCAGATCTGAGCGGTCGCATCTCGTCTTGGCTTAGCGGTTCAAAAAATGAGACAAGCACGTCGACAACAACTGTAGAACATGTGCGACATCGAAAGAGTGATGTAGAGGGCGAGAAGGAGGGAGAGTTCCAGTATGAAGGGCAATTTGGAGGAAGCGAGCTCTTAGCACGAGTCAAGAGGAATAACGCGAATATCAAGGAGAAAATTGCAGAGTTGGAGAAAGATCTGAAGAGAAGAACACGCAAATTCAAAACGAAACCTAGGAAGAAACACCGAACTACCAAGGTATCGTTGGGATCCACAAAACAAGAGGAAACACTTGAACCATTGAAATAATGAGTAAGTTC